TGGTGACCAGAGGGATTCCCGAGACCAAGCCCCAGGCCTATGATACCATAGTTGATCAGAGTGCTAATGGCCTGACACACTTCAGCATTGGACTGGTCAGCAAAGCCCGACGAGCGCAGGAGAGAGCGTACATGCTCTAACAGTTGTCCGGTAACCACGGGGTTCCCAGCACCTCCGTTGGGATAGGCTGAGCTTAGATTTAAGGTCAGATTTACTCCACCTCCAAGCAAATTACCCAATCCACTCACTGAAAGCAAAAACATCAGACATTAGATAACAATGGAACCAAAATATATAATCCCTTTTTGATAAACTTTGAAAAAAAGGGGAGAAACAAAAAGATCTAAAAATTTGTTTGTGTGTGCTAGAGTGTCTGTATGTACCTGCATAGGTCTATGTCTGTCTACAAGTGTTGGAATGTCTACATAAGTCTACCTGTCAGAGCATGTGGCTTAGTCCACCTGTCACAGCATGTGACTTAGTCCACCTGTCACAGCATGTGACTTAGTCCACCTGTCACAGCATGTGACTTAGTCCACCTGTCACAGCATGTGACTTAGTCCACCTGTCACAGCATGTGACTTAGTCCACCTGTCACAGCATGTGACTTAGTCCACCTGTCACAGCATGCGACTTAGTCCACCTGTCACAGCATGTGACTTTGTCCACGTGTTGGCATGTGTGTTTGACAATTAATCAATATGTTCATGTGAATGTGAATTTGTCTGTCAACCCCTACGATCTGGATGACCTGACCATCATGTCATGAAAATATCTGGCTCAAGGGGCGGGTGACCTGAACTTGCCGTCATGGCAAAATTTGGCCAAAGACTGTAGGGTGATGGGAACTTGCCATCATGAGAATTTCAGATGAAGCCTAGGGTGACAGTTATGACTCACTACTAATGCACAAAGCTCTTGAAGGGCAATTAAATTCGGTGAGTATTTAAGAGGGGGGTTTTGTCTTATTTTCATTGATAAATGGAGTGTGGAATGTACCATCTGTGAGCCTTGATAAGAGCACTGGCTCCAGAGAGGGGACTATTTTCATGATCATGTTCTTAATCCTGAACCACCATGACCAGTGGCAGATAGTGTTGCTTATTATTGTTATTTTTGCACTGAGTTATGGACTACCTAGAGATATGATAAGGAGTCTGTACAAGGAAAACAGTCTATATTGCCTTCTGGAAAAGGCAAGCCAAAAGACATAGACAATGGAAAATGTCAATAAAGCTAAAAATGTTTTTGCAGATAGAGAAAATAACACTGCAAATGGGAGGCATGTAGTCTTGTTACCGCATATCCAAGTGCTTGTGTGCACAAGGCCTACAAGCCATTCAATTGAGCCTAGTGCCCCCATTATGGGTCACATAATGGCAGTGAAGCATCCGGATCTAGTAGGCTAACATGTCCCTCTGTGTGTGTGTGTGTGTGTGTGTGTGTGTGTGTGTGTGTGTGTGTGTGTGTGTGTGTGTGTGTGTGTGTGTGTGTGAGGGCATGATGCATGTGTGAGGGCATGATGCATGTGTGAGGGTATGGCTGCATGTGTGAGGGTATGGCTGCATGTGTGAGGGTATGGCTGCATGTGTGAGGGTATGGCTGCATGTGTGAGGGTATGGCTGCATGTGTGAGGGTATGGCTGCATGTGTGAAGGTATGGCTGCATTTGTGAGGGTATGGCTGCATGTGTGAGGGTATGGCTGCATGTGTGAGGGTATGGCTGCATGTGTGTGAGCATACCTGTATGTATGTGGATATGTCTGCCTGAGTATCATGTCTGTGTAATACTGTTGTAGCTTACCTGCAGAGAGCGGATTGGACAGTGCTCCCATGGTACCATTCTGCGTGTTTTGTCCACCTGGAGAATTAGCAAATGGAGATCCAGTGGGGTTGGGATTTGCGACGGGGCCTGTGATGTCTGCATAGCTCACGTTGAGACATGTTCCACTCTGTGGGTCCTCCACAATTTTGGCCAGGATCATCAGGCATGCATTCTTGCTGTTGTCAACATCATTGGCTGAGGAGAATTCAAATATATTAATGTAGAAAAAAAAAAGAAAGAAAAAAAGAGTAGATGAAAGGAGCAAGACCAAATAAAACAAAGACCAAGAGAGAAATAAGGACAAAAAATGGAGGAATGAGGGAGAGAGGAGGGAGGGGTGGAAAAAGGGACAAAGCAGAGGGGAAGGGAGAGAAAGGAAGGTGAAAGCTGAGGAGGGACAGAGGAGAGGGAAGGAGAGAAAAAGAGGGAGAGGGGGGGGAAAGAGGGAAGCAGAGAAGCAGGGAGGGAGGGGAAGGGGGTTGAGAAGTGGTTGAGAAAGGAGGAGGAGGAGGAGGAGGAGGTGGTGGTGGTTGAGAAAGAAGGAGGAGGAGGAGGAGGAGGTGGTGGTGGTTGAGAAAGAAGGAGGAGGAGGAGGAGGAGGTGGTGGTGGTTGAGAAAGAAGGAGGAGGAGGAGGAGGAGGTGGTGGTGGTTGAGAAAGAAGGAGGAGGAGGAGGAGGAGGTGGTGGTGGTTGAGAAAGAAGGAGGAGGAGGAGGAGGAGGTGGTGGTGGTTGAGAAAGAAGGAGGAGGAGGAGGAGGAGGAGGAGGTGGTGGTGGTTGAGAAAGAAGGAGGAGGAGGAGGAGGAGGAGGAGGTGGTGGTGGTTGAGAAAGAAGGAGGAGGAGGAGGAGGAGGAGGAGGTGGTGGTGGTTGAGAAAGAAGGAGGAGGAGGAGGAGGAGGAGGAGGTGGTGGTGGTTGAGAAAGAAGGAGGAGGAGGAGGAGGAGGAGGAGGTGGTGGTGGTTGAGAAAGAAGGAGGAGGAGGAGGAGGAGGAGGTGGTGGTGGTTGAGAAAGAAGGAGGAGGAGGAGGAGGAGGAGGTGGTGGTGGTTGAGAAAGAAGGAGGAGGAGGAGGAGGAGGAGGTGGTGGTGGTTGAGAAAGAAGGAGGAGGAGGAGGAGGAGGAGGTGGTGGTGGTTGAGAAAGAAGGAGGAGGAGGAGGAGGAGGAGGTGGTGGTGGTTGAGAAAGAAGGAGGAGGAGGAGGAGGAGGAGGTGGTGGTGGTTGAGAAAGGAGGAGGAGGAGGAGGAGGAGGAGGAGGTGGTGGTGGTTGAGAAAGGAGGAGGAGGAGGAGGAGGAGGAGGAGGTGGTGGTGGTTGAGAAAGGAGGAGGAGGAGGAGGAGGAGGAGGAGGTGGTGGTGGTTGAGAAAGGAGGAGGAGGAGGAGGAGGAGGAGGAGGAGGAGGAGGAGGAGGTGGTGGTGGTTGAGAAAGGAGGAGGAGGAGGAGGAGGAGGAGGAGGAGGAGGAGGAGGTGGTGGTGGTTGAGAAAGGAGGAGGAGGAGGAGGAGGAGGAGGAGGAGGAGGAGGAGGAGGAGGAGGAGGTGGTGGTTGAGAAAGGAGGAGGAGGAGGAGGAGGAGGAGGAGGAGGAGGAGGAGGAGGAGGAGGAGGTGGTGGTTGAGAAAGGAGGAGGAGGAGGAGGAGGAGGTGGTGGTTGAGAAAGGAGGAGGAGGAGGAGGAGGAGGTGGTGGTTGAGAAAGGAGGAGGAGGAGGAGGAGGAGGTGGTGGTTGAGAAAGGAGGAGGAGGAGGAGGAGGAGGTGGTGGTTGAGAAAGGAGGAGGAGGAGGAGGAGGAGGTGGTGGTTGAGAAAGGAGGAGGAGGAGGAGGAGGAGGTGGTGGTTGAGAAAGGAGGAGGAGGAGGAGGAGGAGGTGGTGGTTGAGAAAGGAGGAGGAGGAGGAGGAGGAGGTGGTGGTTGAGAAAGGAGGAGGAGGAGGAGGAGGGGGTGGTGGTGGTTGAGAAAGGAGGAGGAGGAGGAGGGGTGGATGTTGAGAAGAGGTGGTGGTGGTGGTTGAGAAAGGAGGTGGTAGGTGAGTGAGTGAGAAGGAGGTGGTGGTGGTTGAGAAAGGAGGAGGAGGAGGAGGAGGAGGAGGAGGAGGAGGAGGAGGAGGAGGAGGAGGTTGAGAAAGGAGAGGAGGAGGAGGAGTGAGAAAGGAGGAGGAGGAGGAGAGGTGAGAAAGGAGGAGGAGGAGGAGGAGGAGGAGGAGGAGGAGGAGGAGGAGGAGGAGGAGGAGGTGGTGGTGGTTGAGAAAGGAGGAGGGAGGAGGAGGAGGAGGAGGAGAGGAGGAGGTGGTGGTGTTGAGAAAGGAGGAGGAGGAGGAGGAGGAGGAGGAGGAGGAGTGAGGAGGCGGTGGTGGTGAGAAGGAGGAGGAGGAGGGGGAGGAGAGGAGGAGGAGGAGGAGGAGGAGGTGGTGGTGGTTGAGAAAGGAGGAGGAGGAGGAGGTGGTGGTGGTTGAGAAAGGAGGAGGAGGAGGAGGTGGTGGTGGTTGAGAAAGGAGGAGGAGGAGGAGGTGGTGGTGGTTGAGAAAGGAGGAGGAGGAGGAGGTGGTGGTGGTTGAGAAAGGAGGAGGAGGAGGAGGTGGTGGTGGTTGAGAAAGGAGGAGGAGGAGGAGGTGGTGGTGGTTGAGAAAGGAGGAGGAGGAGGAGGAGGAGGAGGAGGAGGAGGAGGAGGAGGTGGTGGTTGAGAAAGGAGGAGGAGGAGGAGGAGGTGGTGGTGGTTGAGAAAGGAGGAGGAGGAGGAGGAGGAGGTGGTGGTGGTTGAGAAAGGAGAAGGAGGAGGAGGTGGTGGTGGTTGAGAAAGGAGGAGGAGGAGGAGGTGGTGGTGGTTGAGAAAGGAGGAGGAGGAGGAGGTGGTGGTGGTTGAGAAAGGAGGAGGAGGAGGAGGAGGAGGAGGAGGAGGAGGAGGAGGAGGAGGTGGTGGTTGAGAAAGGAGGAGGAGGAGGAGGAGGAGGTGGTGGTTGAGAAAGGAGGAGGAGGAGGAGGAGGAGGAGGAGGAGGAGGAGGAGGAGGAGGAGGTGGTGGTTGAGAAAGGAGGAGGAGGAGGAGGAGGAGGAGGAGGAGGTGGTTGAGAAAGGAGGAGGAGGAGGAGGAGGTGGTGGTTGAGAAAGGAGGAGGAGGAGGAGGTGGTGGTTGAGAAAGGAGGAGGAGGAGGAGGAGGAGGAGGAGGAGGTGGTGGTTGAGAAAGGAGGAGGAGGAGGAGGAGGAGGAGGAGGAGGAGGAGGAGGAGGTGGTGGTTGAGAAAGGAGGAGGAGGAGGAGGAGGTGGTGGTTGAGAAAGGAGGAGGAGGAGGAGGTGGTGGTTGAGAAAGGAGGAGGAGGAGGAGGAGGAGGAGGAGGAGGAGGAGGAGGAGGAGGAGGAGGAGGAGGAGGTGGTGGTTGAGAAAGGAGGAGGTGGTGGTTGAGAAAGGAGGAGGAGGAGGAGGAGGAGGTGGTGGTTGAGAAAGGAGGAGGAGGAGGAGGAGGAGGAGGAGGAGGAGGAGGAGGAGGAGGAGGAGGTGGTTGAGAAAGGAGAAGGAGGAGGAGGAGGAGGAGGAGGAGGAGGAGGAGGTGGTTGAGAAAGGAGAAGGAGGAGAAGGAGGAGGAGGAGGAGGAGGAGGAGGAGGAGGTGGTTGAGAAAGGAGAAGGAGGAGAAGGAGGAGGAGGAGGAGGAGGAGGAGGTGGTTGAGAAAGGAGAAGGAGGAGAAGGAGGAGGAGAAGGAGGAGGAGAAGGAGGAGGAGAAGGAGGAGGAGGAGGAGGAGGAGGAGGAGGAGGAGGAGGAGGAGGAGGTGGTGGTTGAGAAAGGAGGAGGAGGAGGAGGTGGTGGTTGAGAAAGGAGGAGGAGGAGGAGGAGGAGGAGGAGGAGGAGGAGGAGGAGGAGGAGGAGGAGGTGGTGGTTGAGAAAGGAGGAGGAGGAGGAGGAGGAGGAGGAGGAGGAGGAGGAGGAGGAGGAGGAGGTGGTGGTTGAGAAAGAAGGAGGAGGAGGAGGAGGAGGAGGAGGAGGAGGAGGAGGAGGTGGTGGTTGAGAAAGAAGGAGGAGGAGGAGGAGGAGGAGGAGGAGGAGGAGGAGGAGGAAGAGGAGGAGGTGGTGGTGGTGGTTGAGGAGGAGGAGGAGGAGGAGGAGGAGGAGGAGGAGGAGGAGGAGGCGGAGGAGGAAGAGGAGGAGGAGGAGGAAGAGGAGGTGGTGGTGGTGGTGGTTGAGAAAGAAGAAGAAGGAGAAGGAGGAGGAGGAGGAGGAGGAGGAGGAGAAAAAAGGAGGAGGTGGGTGGTGATGGTGAGTGAGTGAGTGAGTGAGTGAGTGAGTGAGTGAGTGAGTGAGTGAGTGAGTGAGTGAGAGAGCGAGTGAGTGAGAGAGCGAGTGAGTGAGTGAGAGAGCGAGTGAGTGAGAGAGCGAGTGAGTGAGAGAGCGAGTGAGTGAGTGAGAGAGCGAGTGAGTGAGAGAGCGAGTGAGTGAGTGAGTGAGTGAGTGAGTGAGAGAGCGAGTGAGTGAGAGAGCGAGTGAGTGAGTGAGTGAGAGAGTGAGTAAGTGAGAGAGCGAGTGAGTGAGTGAGAGAGTGAGTGAGAGAGCGAGTAAGAGCGAGAGTTTGAGAGAGTAAAGGAAAGGAGAGCAATTATGTAATGAGAGTGCAGAGGTTGCACACACATTAGGTGCTCAAGTTATATTTCTACATTATTTAGTGTAACTCTAGCTTGTTTAACTTAAGTTTATTTACCAATCCCTATTTCTATTCTCTAAGAACTGCATAGCTTAAGTTGCATAATGACTTGATTTACAATGCATTTGTTCCTTTCTGCTAAATTCAGTACATAACTAAGATGGCATAGTCTATCCAATCCATACTTTGGCTTCATATCAACTGATTCACAGAAACTGCCATCTACCTTAACCCAAAACCAACAGACATGGCATGTGCACAATGAAAGTTTACTGCTAATTGTTTATACAAATCTATGGCTCCACTTGTACTAAGACACCTAATGAGCCAATTACGAGTACTACCTGTCTCACCCGTTTACCCTTTTCCTTGATTTTCAAAAATATTTAAGGCTATCTTATATGACTGTTACTAATATCAATAACATTATAGTAATCATGTCTATAATAAAATTAACACCAGCGATATTCACACGATTAGTTTTTAAAAAACAAAAATTAACACCAACGATATTTTAAGAATTAGTTAAAAAAAAAAAAAGTTTTTCATGCAAATTCAAGGAAAGGTGAAATCAGGTAAGGTTACAACACTTACTAACAGACTCCCCTTTGTGGCAAAGCACTTGCAGAGCCATCTATGTGCAGACACATCTCACAAAAAAATCTAAAATAGGCACAGCATTCCCAGCAACATTTTGTCAAATTATAATTATCATTATCATCATTACTATTGCCATATCTTTATCATTAATATTATCAAAATGTTCAATATTCTTCACTATACTTGTTTATGATACTAGTTCTAACATTTTAATTTTTCTTACTCTGATGTAACAACCCAGTACTTCATTATAATACTCTCTATGCATTTCAATATCAGCTAAAGGTAAACATCCCCTAAGTCTATTCTATTCTATTATCCCTCCACAACTAAATGAAGTTTGAAAAAAAAAAGGCAAATAGAGCATACTTTCACAACAGGTACATACAAGCTTTTGCTCTGTACTAATAAGATTTATCATCATCCCATTTTGTTCAGTAACTAAATATTTTTGCTAGTATATTTCATCTACACCTATGATGAAATATATATAACATGCTTTAAATAATGAGACGACATTCCAAAGTAATGAGAACTTCCTTCATCACAATTGAACACGAAAAGTCATACAAAAGATGAATTGTATTGCATAATTCATGCAAACCATGAACTAAGAGAACAAAAGCACTGCAGCAAAGAAGCAGCCTAGACCTCAAGCATTTGTGTGCGACAATAGAGTGAACATTTTTCATGGGCAGAATTACCAAATACCATTATCAAACTTCAAAACTACATAAAAATGGAAAAATGGCAATGGTTTACCGAGTATTCTGCAATAACATTGCAAAAACATTTTGCACACCAGATAAAATCTAAAGAGGTATACCAGATCATATATCTAAAATTTAAAACATTATAAATAACATTAAAATTTCGTCCTCAAAATAATTTGGTATTAGTTACAATTCCTCAGTGCTTCATGTATAAGAACAAGTCTGTGGTTGTGCAGCAATAATAACTTACAAGTGTGTGCAACTTTAATCATCCACATACGAGGCATAGCAGTAATTTGTGCACGTAAACTACTGGCCACAGGATGACAGCAGACCTGCAACACGTTTCAGGTTCTAGTTCTTTTTTGGGCAATATGCAAGATGTTTTAGCTTGCTTTGTGTTTACAAAATTAAAGAAAATCTCTACAATTAAACATTCGTCTCCAAGAAATATACATTCATCATTCAAAATGAATTTATCACAATCCAAAAATGCATGTGCTCTTATACATCAGAAGCACTAATAAACTATAACCAACAAGCATAAACCAAACCATCTGCCCAGAAAAATAACAACTATGACTCCGCCACTATGCAACATAAATCTAGGCCTATACAAAAAGTGAATAGCGGAAAACGGACTCACAGATGACTGTGATGCACCGTTCAGCCAGAGACTGATCTTTGGCCTTCTGAGAGATCTGAACGTATGCTCCACTTTCTTCCTTGATCTGCTTGATGTAAGTGCCACCCTTCCCAATGATCATCCCAGCTGTGCTGTTTGGGACCAAAATCTTCACCTGTGGGGAGCGAGCACTTCTTGAAATCTGATGAAGGTAGATGGAATGGACTTAATGGTAATATTCTAGATGAAGAAAATAAAAAGATTATTTCACATTTACATATATAAAATGTATATAATAAAAATCACATGCAAAATGTAGCCCATACTGCAAAATACAAGAACAAGTGAGGTAGACACAAAATAACACCAATATAAAAAATTCTTACATGTAATGTCAATTGATTTTAATATAAATATATTTCTTTATACTTTTTTAATGATAATTAGAAATTCCCTGGCAATTATAAGAAGTTAACAATTTATATGCATAACTTACTAGCATTGGGCTACATTTTGACAATAAATGCATGGTTTTAACTAAAACCAAAACCAAAACCAAAAACTAAAGGGAAAATGCTGGGTGTCTTCTAAACAAAATATTCCATGCATTAATCTATTTTTTCAATGAGTAAGTGGACCTCAAATAAACTGTTGATAAACGAGTCAAGACAAACAAATAAACACTAGGTAAAAAATACTCTAATGCTCAAAATATGTCAAATATTTGTTTCCTATGTTCGAAGACAATAATAGTGAAGGTATCAGTTCAAAACTAGGAGGAGGAGGAGGAGGAGAAGGAGGGGGACCTGAGCACTATTACACTCTGCTGCTTTTTGTGCAAGATTACCAACTTGAAGTTTATGTACTGCAGCAATGAACAAATCACCAGGTAGTAACCAGCTGTGGTATGAACAAAACTTTTGGACCATTTACCTGTTTCTCTCTCTCTGCTGTCTGTTTATTATCAAAGTCAATGGCTGGCTTGGCATTGGGATCTGGCTTCTCCTTGATCTTCTCCATTATGAATGACAAGACTGTCAATATGGCATCCACGTTGCCTGTGATCAGGCAAACGCGCTCCGTTGTACCTGCAAAAAGTACACAGCTTTAACATCATGCACCCAAGACCAATTTTCTTAGAGCTCATATACATATAAAAACTTGAATATTACTGGAAAACCAAGTTTGAATATTCAAGTATCTGGAAGGAAAAATTTTGATCATGTATTCAAATAGATAAATTATATTGATAAGGCTTTTCTATTGAATGAAAGAAAGTGCTCAAATCAAAAATAATTTTCCATAATTTAGAGGACATTAGCGAATTCAAGACCATCAATTTCTGATGGTTAATATTTATTCTTGTCAGGCTGGAATGCCAGATGGCAAGTATTCATGTCACACGAGGTCGAGCCTGCTCTATGTCATGGCCACACAACAGTTTGGTCCCGACATCATATTAGACCTTAAATTCTCTTTTTAGCCTGATTTTCCTAAAAAGTTCTGTATGTTGCAGCCAAAATTGTTCATAGAGAAAACACTTGTCCTCTCTTACTTGAACAGGTAATTGCATGAACACTTAGCATGTCCCACAGTATGGCATGGGAAAACCCTTTTTAATGGGTTCAATCTTTCAAACTCAATTACCTGATGTTACAGATAATCACAATCAACAAATAAGTAGGGACATTAATCATTAAATACTCATGATGAAAAGTTAACAAATTATTATTTCAATTAACCCTTAAATGACGGTATCAGAAATTTCTCGGCATCACTGACTCCAGTGAATTTTGGCAACCGTCTTGCCATTTGGACGAGGAGGCTGCTACATGTAGTGGAACTTTCCACTTGACCTACTTTAGTGCGTCACGACGCCTATAGCCATACCTGCCGTGAGGAGTCAGTTTGTTATGACAGTTACAGGCATGGCCCAACAGATATGGGGTAAAGGATAATCTGTATTCATATATAATCTAACCATTCAGCATTATTTGCGGTTTAGTTATGCTTATACCATCATGATGGTACAGTCTCTGACTTTATTATACAAACAGTGTCTGCTAATGTTAAGTCTAGTTCAACAGAAGCATATTAAATTATTAATAAGAATCAAGTGGTTCCCATCTACAGGTCAACAGAATGAAAGCTGAAGCTCTTCAGCGGTATTTGAAGGTCGTTGAGGTTCAGTCAAAGTGAGCAATTACATATAAAAGCCTAGGATAGCCAATTCTGTAACAAATTGTTGTATGCTAAATTTCAGTTATGAGCTGAAAAACATTTATGTTGGTGTCATTGCACACTCGGGATTGTGCCAGAGGCAGGCTCTATCCTGGATTATCTCCCACTTTCAGCTAGACCATCAGCATCTAAGGAAGTGAATTAATGCAGTCCAGCTTAAAATTATGAACTATGCAATGAAAGTTCTTTTTATTTTCTATGAATGCCAAGTTTACCTTGTATCAAAAATGTTAAGCATTAATAAATATGTCTAATTCTCTATTCCGTTTTTATATGCAAGATGCAGTTCTAATTTCAAAAATCAAGTTTAGCACTTGGAAAATACGTAAATAGAAATAGTACTAAAAGTGTTGGGTGTATCCATTATTTTCTTACAGTGTTCTATTTCTGATGTAGACTGCATTGGAAATAACCAACCTAGGAATCTTTTACCTCTCAACATCAGGAACATCTTTATACACACAGGTCACAGTCATCAAGATGCTGGGCTCCATGTCCACTATCCCCACCACCACCCTTGTGTTGTGTTATATATATACTAGCTATGTGAGACTAGTTGCACACAAGGGAGGAGTCTCATGCTCACACAATATTATAAAAAGCTAAGCCCCTGCACCTGTCAACAAAACATCCACATTGCTCAAGCCATGGGGAGGGGATAAGTTACTTGCAGACAAGCATGTAAAGGGTCATGTCATATAACCAAGATCTCAAATAATTTACCTGCTAAAACATGTTTATACATAATTACTACTCATAAAAATATAAATAAATAACCATAAAAAATGCATATCCCAAGGGCGAGGACTAGTTTTGAACACTTGCAAAAATGAAAGTTATCATTTTAATCATTTCAAACATTAATATATCTAAAAGGAAAAACATATTCTAATTCCAACTTATAACTTGAAAACATGCACACTGATGTTACAAGTAAATACACCGATTGATAAAGACATTTCAAAAATTAACCTGGTGACTTTTAATTCTAACATTTAGAATATCTTTTCACAGTAAACGATAATCCCAACTTACAATTAACTTCAAACTTGCACACTGATGCTACCATTATATACACCTATTGTTAAGGACATCATTCGAAATGTAATCTGGTGACTTTGAATTCTAACATGTAGAACATCTTTTTATAGTAAATGATAACCCAATCAATCATACTGAAGACATAAATAGAAAAATTAAGAACACACTAGTATACTTTCCAAATACCAAGATTCAAAATCAGTGTTACTGAAAACAAGGCATACCATACAACAGCAATAATGCTAGTTTTAACATAAAAACACACACACACACACACACACAAAAAAAGAAGAAAACATAACACTCACCTGGGTAAAAATCATTTGCCTTTGACATCTTGACTCGGGCATTTGTATCCTTCTGGAGTTGAGCAATAGTTTCACCTCCCTTGCCAATTATGGCACCAGCTGCCACGCTTGGGACAAGGATCTTGAGGTGGTATGTTCCATCACTCTGCATGTCTGCTTGGGGTACAAATAGTATAATTAATATATCTTTTAACTGCTCTATTTTATACTCATTACAATTATTAATATCTCCATTCAATTGATCAGAGCATTTAAAATGCTGCTGTGGTTTTCAAAGTTGAAATATTATTTCTACCACTTAATGAAGTATGTGGTTCTTACTTTCCTTTTTAAGTAGTCTTGCATGCTTATATCACTAGTGAGAGTATCAGGAGGCCTTTGTTGGCCTTTAATGATAGCTAACTTTCATAATAATTACACATAGATACTTCTTGTGTAAAGCAGCAAAGTACTCATAAAAAGCCTATCAAATAAAGGAAAAGTGTACCTACACACGACAAAAATACTTGGGTGTAAGATTTTAATATTCATAGTCAGTTACAACCCAACTTTCATGTAATGAAAGTTTCTTGGTACTGCCAAATGCATGCTGCCTGCCAAGAATGCAATCAAGGAGGCTGTGTGAGGCCTGGCCCTTGCTGCAAAAGTGCATTTAATCATCAAATCTATCCCACTAGGTATTTTCATCAAATGTTACTGGTATGAGTATTACTCGTTCATTCCAAATCACATCTCAATCCCAAACTCCCCAAATGGCAAAGATAAAAACAGCAACAGTACTAGAAGAGGAATTCAGGTTAAAGCTATGATCTTCATATTTTAACATTTTTACATTACTGTTATATTTAACAAACTATATTACTATTACCAAAATAGAATTAATATTACAAACTGATTATTTCACATGGGAAGCAGAATGTGATACAGCTGCAGTGACAAGGATGATTTCAAACCAAAATTCACAAGATAAAACCTAAAATATATGTCTGCAGTGCCCCAACAGTCTGCTATGGTCTATTAGCCTTTAGCATTCCAGCAAAGACCAACAAAATTTCCAGCTCCACGCACAGCAGTACCCCACAGACCAAGTAGTTTGTGACGTGTGTACATGTGACCCATCGGGGTAGGGTTAAAAGAGGATATATCACATAACTGACCCCAGGGGACTTTTATACTTTATATAAGCACCGGTTTCCTATTCTACATTCTTATCTCTAGATTACAAAATCACAACTCCCTCTCTTCTGCAAAATTAATTTGAGCAAATACTTATCAATTTGCTTGTTTAACCCTATACAGGCAAGAAGAGCCTTCATGTGATATCTTGGTTATAAGCCGAATATGAGCCTAGAAGAGCTCTAGCTGTGATGGCTCGCTTTAGTGTTGGTGCACTAGAAAAAATCTGGCTCGGGAGGCAGGTGACGTGAACATACCATGACGGAATAATTTGGTTGCTGACCAGGTAAAGCGAACCTGCTGTTGTGGGCACTTGGGCTGAAGGCCAGGGTGACAGGAATGACTCACCACGAGTAGACAAACCTCTTGGGAGGTTGGTTAGACTCATCTCACATTTCTGCATTATTCCCATTGATAAATGAGGTGGAATGTATTATCTGTGAGCCATGACTGGAGGAGCACCTACTCCATGGAGGATGACATTTCATCATATTCCCGGCGCCATGACAAGCAACGCAGGTAGTTTTACAGGAAATTGAATGATGAAATTTCAAAATGTTAATTTTTTTTCTTCTTTGCACTGAGTTATAGACTAACTAGAGAGACGATTTAGAAAATGGACATTAGAAAATGGGGGGGGGGGGGTGATTATGTATAAAAAGAGGAAATAACATTGCAAATACTCTTCTGACCACACACACACACATTCACGTGTGGGCCTGGCCTACAAGCTGCACTCCCAGCAGAGCAGCCGCCCACGTAAGCATAATGCCCAGATTTCCGGTCATGACACAACTGGATCAAAGAGATTAATAACTGGAATGCCTAATTGTGGGCAATCATAAATTATGGCTGCAAGAATCATATCTTCCAATCCCTTTGATACAGGTGTCTCACAGCCCGCACACGGACCAAAATCTGGCCATTTGCTTACTTGAGGGCCGAGTCTCCTGGATATTTGTTTGTAGGCCTGGCCTCATGAAAACATGTGGTATCAAAAGTCCTTGCCTCCCCTTAGCAGTGCTCTTAAGCGTAAGTGCTTTATACCATTTTACCTTTTTCCAAGGTCTGTATTTGTCATGTGTTATGCCATATTAAGATGACAATAGACAGCTTGCACTGAGCAAATTCCTTCTCTCAAAGTAGTGTAAAACTCTGCAATTACGGTATGTAACACTGTGTTACTTGTCTCTTTCAATTTTCTGTAGCACACCCTGTGCTGCCTGTCAGCATGGGTAGGAATAGTATCCAGAGCTTGGAAAGTGTTCTCCCTAGAGCTAGCATTCTCCAGGTATATCTCACAAATGGTACATTCTACCCTCCTTTACTGATGGATATAATGCCAGAGCCCCTTCCTAAATCCCCTCTGAGTCTAAGCTTCCTCCATAAGCTTTGTGCATTCATGGCGAGACATTCCCCTCACCTGACAATCAGCAACAATACTGCATGGTGAATCATTCCTACACCCACAGCCCTAAGCCAATAAGTTTTTGCATGACATGAAGGTGATGTCACCTATATTCAATAGATCAATTCTTGGATCAAAGTGATGTGACCATCATGTCAATAAAATTTGGCTGAGGGCCAGAGTGATGGGAAGGTGAAGGAACTCTAGCATTACTTCCGCCAGTAAATAAGTGGTCTGTACCATTGATGGGCCAGACTGGAAGAGTGCCACCTCCAGGGAAGACACAATTTCCTATTCCTGTCCATAGTGACTGGTGATGCATGATGCATTACAGGATACTGAATATAATGAAAATATCATCAAAAGTTATAAACAAGAATATGTTCCTCGTCTTGGGTATTACATCTAGATTCAGCATATCAAAAAAATTTGTATCTTGGAAAGTGGCACAAAAGAAAAATATATTTATTCAGAAAGAAATAACACTGTAATGGAGAGAAAAGGAGTCTTGACACCGCACGTGTGTTCGTGTGGGATTGGCCTACAAGCCCCCCCCCCCCCACACACACACACGATTGTTTAATGGCCTGATTTTGGGCAGCAAGGCACCCAGATCCAATGAGTTAATACCTAGTACCCTTTAATCATGTCAGAGTTTGCACAGCAATCACTCAATACCAAGGGTTTAATTATCTCTAATTCTAAAGTTAGTGGACAACTACAAATCAATAAATTCTCTCTTTATAATTACAAATTGTAGTTTAACCCAAGATTCTAGAATATGAAACCTATGCAATTTCTATTATTTAACAAAAAATACATTCTGCTACTGTCAAGAAATACATTATGATGGAAGCCAAACATTTCTTCCTAATAGAAAAATTAAAACCACTAAATCTAAGCACTAATAAATTCCTTCATACAAATCTCCAACCCTGGAAAGATTATACATCAGACCCCCTGAAGTGACTAAGAACATTAACTTACTCTAAATGTGAAAAAATTTAAGCAGGAATTTCTTAGTACCAAACCTAAACAAAGGGTAAGAAGTGACATACTAAACTCAGTCCAACCTCCGGAAAGAAAACATTGGCACCGAATTCTGGATTACTCCGATTCGCCAAGTTTGTTAAAAAGTTATAAACAGGTACTGAAGACAACTACTTCCCGATCTAAATAAATATTCCCTTACATGCTTCCAAAAAATACAAAGCTCTGTCTAATCAGAATAATCCAATCTGGTCTTTCCTGAAATTGGACGAACTACAGTATTCCATTACGTCGGATGTAAACAGTTTGTTCATAATCCCATCAAATCATAGCTTCTGCTCAAATATTATGCAGAAATCCCTGGAAACATTAATAAACTCGGCCCCTTTATCAAATATCAAGCACGTTCGACCACTCCATTATTCAAGGAGTACTATACTCGAAGCTTGTGCCAAATTCTCAAATCAATAAAATCGTTCTCATTGGAGAGTTGTTATCAAGCAGAAACCTAAGTTTTTTTTCCGTTAACTTTTAATTTTGTGGAAAGTACAAGTAATTCATAATATACTCAGGAAGATCTTTACCACACCCACTCATCAACCTAAGTGGGGGGTTGCAGTATACACAATGACGGAGGAATGAAGTTATTACAGTTGATAATTCATTTTAATTCATCCCACATACATTTAAATTACTCTATTCCAATAGTTAAAGTGTATTGTAGCCAGTACAAGCATCACTTAATACTAAAGCTAATTCTGATGATTAACAACCTTAAGTCTGCAATCTAATGCAACTGCACATCACCTCATGCACCATGCATGCCTCTGCAAATGCTGACCTCAACCCAACCCAACCCCCCATTGCCAAACAACCTTCCATCCCCCTATGGCCCCCCCCCAGCTACTACTCCCCTCCCCCCCTAATCTCTCCATGCACACACCCCCTCCCCATGCCCCCCCCCTTCACCTAATCTCTTCATGCACGCCCCCCCCTCCCCCCAGGCCACCCACCCTAGCAACAGGAAGAGTCTGCCTCCGCCGGAAAATCCCCGAGCGAAAACTCCCGCACCTCGAAATTTTCCAGTCATGCAAAGCAACCTGCATGACAACATAAACAAACGCGAACCCCATTACTCCAACCCCTTCAAGCCCACGGCGGGCGCCCTCCTCCCACTCCCCTCCCCCTCCCCCCCGCCCGACCCACCCCGTCCCAACCCCACGAAGAGGACAAAGAGGACAGGAATAAAAGGGGAGGGAGAGAGGACGATTGAGAGAGAGGGAGAGGGAGAGAGAGAGAAGACGCAAGCGCAGCCGAGGTTAGAGGAGCGTGGCGGCGTCCCTCCCTCCCCCCCCTCCCCTCCCCTTCCCCCCCTTATCGAACGCCATCAACCCCCTTCCCTCCCCCCCCCCACCACCGCCGTCGCGCCGAAAACCCTCCTATTTCCCTCTCCTGCGGCCTTGCCCCTCGTCGCCCCTGCTGCCCGGCGTGCCCTCGGACTCCAAGGCGCCCGGGGTGAGGTGGGCATCGTCCCCAGGAGCCGCGGGGGGAGAGGCGAGGCGAGGAGAGGAGGCGAGGACGGCGGATTCGTCCCTTGGTCCGCGGGCCGAGGGCGACGACGAGGCTCGAGACCACCGCCGCTTTATCCTCCTTTTCTTCCCGGGATCCCGCGCGCCTACGGAAATTCGCTCTCTTTTAACACTTACCAGGTATATAGTGTGATCTCTTGGATATGGCATCGTCAGAGTCGATGTCTAGGGGCCTCTTCCTCGAGTCCGGGGTGCCGGGAGACGGGACGCACTCCTCCATGCTGAGTTCCGAGGAAGCCATGTTCTGACGGAGGCGGCGGCGGGGCGCATGCGCGGC